CATGGCAGTGGGGGCTCCGGCTGAGCCACGGCTTCGAGGGACAACAACCTCCCGCCACAGCCCTGGGGACAGCCCGTTCCCAGCCGCCTGGCTCCAGGGATTTGTCTCTTTCCCACAGCAGGACACACTGTCCCAGGGAACTTGTGCAGTTTCCTTCCTCGCAGGGTCTGTGGGGACAGCAGGAGAGAGCAGAGGTTCTGCTCCAGGGCAGCGCTCAGCCCCGCTCCCCAGCATCCCATCCTGGGCAGGCAGGTCTCCATGGGCACAGCCTCTGGAGTGGGATCCATCCATCCAGCACAGCATCAGGCAGGAGGCAGCTGCCTGCCCATGGCCAGCACCTTCTCAGGCATGAGGGACCGAGGAAGGTCCCCTCCACCGGCCGGGGCCAGCCCGGCACTAGACATACTGCTTTTTGGAGGCTGAGCTCCCTGGCCGGCTGCACAGCTTCTCTTCTGGGGCGGGGGCTTCAGCAGCCTGGGGGGCGTAGGGGTCCGACAGGGGCCTGCTGCCATTGCCCAGTGCCAGGTTCTCCTCGTTGTGGAAGTTGGCCCAGTTCTGCTCACTGGAGAGCTTGTTGTAGGCTTGGTAGGACGGTGTGTGGCTCTCGGCCATGGGCAGGAAGGGGTAGTGCTTGGGTGGGTAGGGACCCGAAACCATGTCATCGGCAAAGGTGTCCCGGCTCGGGCCAGCTGGCCCTGACACCTTCTTGATGTTACTAAGCAGGTTCTTGCAGCAGAGATGGAAAAGCTCCAGAAGGTTCAGGATTAAGGAGATCAGGCCCATCACCAGCATGAAAATGATGAAGATGGTCTTCTCAGTAGGGCGGGAGATGAAGCAGTCCACCTGATGGGGGCAGGGGTCCCTCTTGCACACATAGCGGGGCACCATGGAGAAGCCGTACAGGTACCACTGGCCAACGAGGAAGCCAGCCTCAAAAATGCTCTTGCAGATGACACTGATGATGTACGTCCACATCAGTGCCCCCCGGATCTTGAGCCGCCCATCCTCAGTCACGTAGATCTTGGACATCTTCTTCTCCACAGCTGCCAGCGCCTGCTCAATCTTCGGGTCCTTGCTGTGGATAGCCCGAAGCTCGCTCTCCTGTTGCTTCAACTTCTCCTCCTTCCGGGAGAGATAGACAACGTGGCCGAGGTAAATCAGCGTTGGGGTGCTGACAAAGAGGAACTGGAGCACCCAGTAACGGATGTGGGAGATGGGGAAGGCTTTGTCATAGCAGACGTTGGTGCAGCCCGGCTGCTTGGTGTTGCACACGAAATCCGACTGCTCGTCCCCCCAGACAGACTCCCCGGCCAAGCCCAAGATGAGGATGCGGAAGATGAAGAGCACGGTGAGCCAGATCTTCCCGATCACGGTCGAGTGCTCCTGGACTTGGTCCAGAAGTTTCTCCAGGAAACCCCAGTCACCCATCTTCTAGGGAGCCTCGTGCCTCTGCCAGCAGAGAGGGGAGGGGAGCCAAGTCAATTCTGCGTCCGGGCAGACGGGGCTAGCTACAGCCCAGGCTTCCTCAGGACACGGCTGCTCTGCACAAGGTCCCAGCAAACCCACCGAAGAACATCCCATGTATTGGGGGAAGGAGCCAGGCATCATTTCTGAGCCCAGGAGTGCTCCTCCTGCACACCGCTGCCAAAACACAGGGCTGAGGGAGAAGAGGCACCTCAGGGATTCACCTCCACCCAGCAGCACCCAGCCTGCAGCACCCATGGCTGTCCTGGCCCCCC